GGCCACGGGGGCCCTGCCATCAGAGGCCCCAGGCCGCACCTTGCCGAGGGTGGCTCCCAACATCAACACTCGTGAACGCACAGAAACGTTTTCACCTCTTAAAATTAGTTCCTCTCCTCTCCCTGTGCATTATAATGACTGTAATTTTAAAATAAATCTGAATGCAGAAACAAAAAGCATTTTTACTGCCCTAAGTTAAACCATGGCTGGGGGTGCTGGGGCTGGTATTTCAGGCGCAAGAGCATTTCAAAGATTCACTCTCTACCTTGATGTGTAGACACATTCTGGAACTGAGCAGTGCTGCAGGCCTGGTACCAAACCCTGTGACCTGCCCCCCAGCTCTGCCTGCCCCACAACAGTGCAGCCCCCCCTCGACAGTACAGATGCCCACCCCAGCATGTCCCTGCCCCTGCCTGACCCCGCTCTCTTTCCCAGCCCCTGGTCCCAAGAAGAGAAAACTGTAGTAAAGAAAATCTGACAGGCATCTGTTTCCCAAATTCTGATTTCTTATGACTCTACTGAATTAATGCTGTACTGTTTGTGGGATGAGTATTTTAAAGGTTAATGTTATTTAATCAAAAAAGGAAGGGAGGGGGCTGGGATCCACAAATCCAATGCTAACTACTGAAACTACAGCCACCATAAAACAGCAGCCACCTCACATTGACAGCATCTAACTTGGATATGCCCCCTAAAAATCATGGTGAGGCTGCACCCCCTCTGCTACAGCCCTGCTTGCACTTCCAGGGCACCCTGCCCTCTGCTAAGCAGCATCCTCCCTGTCAGCAAGTGCATTTGTGAAAAAGGCAGGATAACCACAGCAGTCCCAGACACAGAAACACAAGCAGGCTGCTCACAGACATCCAAATAACCCGGGGAGGAAAACACTCTTCTAAGATTCACCATCAGCTGTCCAGAGACACCAACAACCCGCTGGTAGCTACGAGATGGAAATAAATCCTCATATTGCTTACGTGGTTTGTGCTATTAAAAACAAAGAATCCTTACAGTGACTTTGCTGTTTCTACGTGAAGTGCCCTTTATTCCAGCTAGAAGCAAAGAATAATTTAGAGGCAAAGCACCATATGGGAGGGCTTGATGCCTGCCAGGCGTGTTTTCCCTTCATTCCCCCAGGAAAACAGCAAAACAAATCAACAAGCATCAATAAAATAACAGCAGCGAAACATCCCACTGCTGGCAGCCAGCAATCACTCCCTTTTGGGCTGCAGGACTTCTCTGGCTACAACTGCTTCTTTCATTAACTGCATACCCTTGAAAATAATGTAACATTTACTCACTTTCAATGAATCAAAGCAGGCGATTACGCGTCCGTTTTCAACTTGGCAGCTTTTCGATGGGTGTGCAAATTTACATTCCGTGTCTGGCCGTGAGCAAGTCCCCCTTTGGAACTCCCTACACACCTCCAGTGTTAGCCATTTTGTGTCCCGAATCGGCGTGACACTAACAGCCATCTTTAGCTCTTACAGGCAGGTAAAATTCCCACGAGGGCGGACACGCGGGGAGCCGAACCGACCAACCGGGAACGATGACAGTGCCACCTCCCCACCACCTT